GGGGTGTGCGATAGACTTACCTCCACGTGGTACACCCAGGGCAACGTATACTCATACGGCAAAAAGTCTATTAACCGGCAGTTGACTTCTCACTTCAAGCTACCATCACCCCACTGTATGCCATATTCTACCACTTCCACAGTAATCATTTACCTTTTCTCTGCCTCTATGTCTGACACTTTTACAACTGTAAACCACTCTTCTGTTCCCCATCCCTCGACTTTCTGTTACTTTGACGTTCCTTCCCTCTGTGAAACCCGAAGTCAGCTAAAGAGCTAATGATAACTATCAAAACGCCTGCCATTTGAAATAAATAAAATAAATATTAGGGGTTCATCTGTGAAGTTAGTGAAAGTACAGGTGAGAGACCATGTTTCCATGTAAATATTCATATTTTTAAGATCAATTAAAAAAAGGCGCTGTTTAGTGTTTCTGGGAACTCGAATTTTGTATCGATGGTTACCCGATTAAAATTGTATGTTTGATATTAGTCGATTTCAATTTACTTAATGGACATACTGCAGAATAACTATCACAAAGAGGAAACAATTTAAAGGAAGTGAATTTACTGGGTTTTAAGCAAACATTTCTCCAAATAGAAATCTTTGGGAGATTGGCTCCAACCGAATTCAATGTCACAGTTAAGAATTGCATTACGATACGTGATGTTTCAAGCACCCTCGTATAATAAATGAAACACTCAGAATTTGGCCACTAGAGGTCCACGCTGGTTGCGATTTCATGAAAAAACGGTGCAGGATAATTGTTTACATTTTCAAGTTTTTTTCCATTGTTATTGATCGAATTACTAGGAATATAGATTGTTGTCTTTTGTTATATTACTGGGACCTCTACAAAAAAGATAAACTTGTTTCGAATTTCGATTGGCAAAGAAAAACAATTTTCCCTTACTTTAAACATTAAGTTTATTTTTCAGATCGACCTATTAAACCTCTGGCAATTCCAACAACTCCCTTTTCCTCTGATTCTAATCTCGTGCCTCCAGATACATGGTCTAACAGCCTCCCTAATCGATCTTTCCGAGAATGCTCCAAGTCAAGTCCAGTCGAACCATCCTCAAGTTTAGTCCATCTTCGAGCCAGAGCTGATGGCCGGGAAGAAAGTTCCACCGAAGGAATCTATGGACCACTTGGTTTCATCAAACTTCCATACGAGCATCCAAGATCACACAACGATCATCAAGATGGTATTATTTGTGCATGATCAATCATAGTTTTACTTAGATAACTTTTGGTAATTATTTTTTCAGTAAAAGTTCCACATTCAGTCATCGGTTGTGTAAATTTTAAACACTCCGTAAGTCTAACTATGAATTTCACCCTACTTTATTAATATAAGTAATATGCGTTTCCTTATTTTTTGTAGGCAGACGCATCAGATTCCGAGGTTAGTATTTGCAGGCAAAGTACAACTATTCAGCACAAATGCTATTTTTCAATTTTTTTGTTATGAAGGCGGAAGTGTGCCATCTTCGAAGAGAGCTGAAATTGGCAAAGCAAAAAGTCACTTCTTTAACTTCGCAACTGGAGTCGAATGTAAGTAAATTGCTTAGCGCAAAAAATAATTAATTTATTTTGTGGAGGTCAAAATATGTTTCCTCCTAATAACTAGCGGTACCTGAAAACGGTAGCAATTTTTCATTCATGCAAAACAAAATAAACAGCTGCCATTGCTATGCTTTCATTGGTATGATTTCACATAAGTCTAATGCTGCAATCACTATGAGTATCATTACAACTTCTAGACAAAGTCTAGAGAATTGGTGTTTAGTCCGATCATTCTAAGTTTTCTACTTAGATTAGGATAATGGAACTGCAAAATAAACTTAAATTATGGTTAAATTAAAACATTATTTGCTTTTATTCGCATTACATCATATATTGTATTAACGATATTAATTTGATTTTAAAAATATTGATTTCTAATTGTCGTAGAGTAGTCGAAAACACTATTAGTTTACAGATGCGGACGGATCACATTTTAGGTAAATTTATTATAACTGAACGTTCGCATCTGGTAAAGTCAGTTTTTTCCATTACTTAACTGAATATATTCTTTGAAAGGAACCAAACCTTGAACCCTAATTAATCAATCCATCCTAAAGTCTACCAGCCCCAAGTAACTTAAGATTTGATGTCTTAAGAAATTTAAAACTTCAAGCAGAGCGCATACAACGAGATAGGTTGTTTACCAGAATGAAATCAGAACTTATTAGGACTGAACTTGGCCATTGAGTCCTAAATCAGGCGGAGTCGAAGTTAAACGGCGATTAGGAAGACATGCGTTATAGAGAGGTCATTGGGATTGAAAGAAACAAGTCCATTGATAGTTGTTCTACCATTGCGGCAAATCAGCAGTTGTCGTTATTTCTATTGTTTTGGATCAAATAGTACAAAGCGCTTGACTTCTGTGTTGGCCTTTACTTTTAAAGGCAATATTTTTCCCATTCTGATTTGCCACTCTACATTCTATTTTTACACTGCACCAACCTTTGACGTTTGACATGCCATGACAACTGGATCGTTTGACCATCTGTTTTCCTATTGTATTCATTAATCAAGTACCCGTTACATACAACTGTACTTTGTAACCGGCTAGTCGTAATTCACTTACCCAAACAGGCTTCAATTTATCCGTAAATGCATTTTTATTAAAATCTATTCCTGAGTTTCTGAGATTGCAAATGCATTATTACTTTCAATTGCACCTATTTAACAAAACAACACTTATCATTTAAATGAAATGGGCTTCTAGCGTGCCCCATTCCCTTTCAATATAAGTACTTTACCATCAATTACAAAATCCCCAGTTGAATGAGGGATCGTATTTTCTAAGTTACCGGTCATATTTTTATTAGGAAGGAAAATTAATTCTGCTTTTGGTATTGCTTTCACTTAGTACTCCAAGTTTTTATAAGAACTCTTGTCTTCTCGTAGGCTAGACATGTAGTAGTACTACGTGGGGCAATTGCCATCAATTTTCTGTCTGTCTTATATCTGATTAATTAGCAACAACACTGGACACCTATCTTCTGAACAAATAAGTAAAGTTATCTAAAATAAAATAAAATAGAAAACTTTATTCTTCTCTAAAGTCTGTTTAGAGTGTCGTAGAGTGTTTCGTTATATAATTTTTGAGGTTTTGTATCAGGGGTTTGAGATTGCTTTATATTTGGAATTTATGGACATTTAATTGTGGCGCTTAAGCCGCTAATTGAAAATGTTGATTCATGATCGAATATACATAGTTTCAAATTTCCCATACGAATCGGTTTCGTAATCACCAATTTAGACTATGGAAACCACATATTTTTCCGCATAACGCGTGTTCAAATTACTCATCTGCATGAATTCATGATCAGCCAATGGCAGACGATTGACCATTGCACAGAAGTGCGTCAGTGCATCCCAGGTGGAAGTACCATATTGCACTAGCATTACTGCATAGCACAACCAAAATAGACGCTGTTCATGGATCGGTTGTACCCTAATTTCTACTCTCTTCATGCAACCGCCCCTGCTGAACCCTTGGAACCCCGTTTTAAACGTCGATCATGGAATGCTTTTCCAGAAAATGCTTTCATGCCTTATACCGTATATACACCTGTTCAGGATGCTACGCTACAACGAAGAACGCTTCAAAGGTGTTCCAGTGAAGCACCGGCATCTAGAAGAATATCTACCTTTCTTCCTGATAATCCCACAAATCAAGATCAGAGAGATGAGGAAAGTAACATAATGAATGATAACATGGATGAATCCTCGAGTAGCATATCACCGATTCCGCCAATTGCTATCGTTAAGCCAACATTGGGAAGAATGGATAGTGTGAGGCGAGTTCACAGACCTCAGCCCTGCTATGGAGTGGCAGTTTCGACTGATATGCCACCACCCTGCATGCAAATGAGTACGCCAGAGGTGTATTTTTCTTCAAACCCAAGTTTCAAACAACCAGCTACTAGCCTACCAAGAAGGCGAAACCAATTACGACGCGAGAGACTAACGCCAACTGTAAGGCACTCAGTATTTGAGTATCCCAATGTTGTGGACTATGGACCGTTGCAAGATAATGATCACACTTTACGTAGAAGAGCCAGAAGGCAACCGGAATCCATCAACACTGCACCAATAAGTAGAAGACCATTTCGAAATGGACATGAAGGAAGCCAGTTGCACAATGCCAATTTAGTGTCATCCATGACTAGTCAGGTGGTATCGAGTGAGGAGGAGCATTCTAATGTTATGATGATTTCAAACACTTTGCCTCCTGCTTGCATTCGTAGTGAACGTCCACGTAGAGTCAATCACGAAAGGGTAAATGAAAATCTACTAAATATATTGAACTCTTATCACCTTGTCATTAATTTTATATGAGAATCCAGGTATACAAAAGTCACTAGTTTATTGATAATACTTGGTCTCTTTCAAGCCATGTTTTGAATTCACCAAGTTAATAATACATAATGCCGAATAAATATTGATGTTAATGTTATGTATTAATTTCTTCATAATTCCTTATTTCTAGTTCAACTTATTTTTATGGGTGAAAATGAATATGCCCAGTAGCGTTCCATTTTTCCCATTATTTTATGATGTTAATATTCCAGGGGTATTTGATTTATTAAAAAGAATTGTCAATTTTCTAGTACGTGTTTTTGCAATGCTGATTTTTTGCTTTCGTGGGGAAGAAATGGATTTAAATATTAGCCATTCCCTTTTCAATCACTTTGTTCACCCGTTGCTTTTACCTACAATGTCTTTATAATCTTGCAGGAGGGTGTCCTTTTGCATAATCATTTCACTTTGTTCCATAGATTATAAATATTAAATATATTCCTTTAAAGAAGAAGAAGAAGGCGCAATATTTTGGGCTGACTCGAATTGTGTTTTCTGTTGTTTTCTACTAAGCGATTATCAAAAAATTGTTTCTCATAACATTGGTACTATTAAAGAAAAGTTTATCACTCTCTCTGATGCCATCTTTATGAAACTGTAATATCACCTTGATAAACAATTAACTTTAAAAATAACAGTGGCGAATGTTCTTAAAGATAGGCTCAAGACATTGAAGTACATTAAAGAGTTTTTCAAATATTATTATATTTATTTTATGTCAATAAAATAGGACAAATAATTCAGTGATGATAGTATACTCACCAATAATTAAATCGTGTATGTTTTAAATAGTTAAATTTATGCTGATATTAAAATATTTTTCAATCGATTTTCGTATTATAATGTTCACTTTACTATCGATTGAATCTTTCCTGTTATTAAAATTTAAACTGCAAACGATATTCATGTATTTGATTTTAGAACATGACTTCTGACAATTATCGTAATATTTTCAGAAATTGTAACTACGCAGCTTTACTTCTTAAGACACGTCAACCATGGCAAACATAAATATTTCAACACTTTCAATCGAAATCATCTTAAGCGTGACTTATTAGTGAAGTACATTGTTACAACTAAAAAAAATTCATTCAAAGCCATTTTTCCCTTTGAAATATTGGATTTCAAAGACAATATTAATTCTGGTCGTATTAACAAAGATGTAATCGGTACTATATTTGAAAAATTTTAAACCTTTGTAATATTGAAAAATTCAATAGCAAAGTTCTCATGTACGAATATTTGATCCACAATTTCACGTCTTATAGTCAAGGTAATTAGAATACAGGATGTTTGACATGAAAAACGTTTATTGCATTTATGGCGTATTGAGAATCATGATCGGTAACCAGAAATATTTAATTTGAAAAGAAGTATTAATTTGCTGGGAAATTGATGTGGCTTCGACAAGCAAGAGACAACTGCTTTCAATGTGTTTGATAGCAAGATGGCAATTTCCGGAATATTTCAGTGTGTACGGGATCCATTTGTTCCCACTTGATAGAAATGCGCGCTTCACAACAGGGAAGTAAATATCTAAATTTGAGAGCTTTTGTTACTCCTCCTTTATTACGCTATATGTATTACATCGAGCTCTTTATTTTAACTTTTTAAGTTTTCCTTATTATTTTATGGCTAGTTACTTTCCTTATTGAAATTCTCTCTTGGTCTTGTGATCTACGTATGTCATTTAAGTGGTTTATTTTTGGGGTGCCCACACTCTACCCCTGTCCCACGTTTTTTCCCCTTTATCTCGCGAAGTAAAATCTTGGAGTACTTTAATTTGCTTCAAAGATAATAGAAATATCTTATTCAGATATTGCTCTGCCCATAAATATCAATAGAGAAGGGAGCTTAATTTACACACAAAATGCATATTTTGTGTCTTTAATCGTGATCAAAATAGTAAATTTCGTAATGCTTTGATTGTCGACATATGCTCCTAATGATAGTTATAAGCTGTCATTGAATTTTAGTCCATTAGGAACGAGCGATTTGCTTCAATATTAGGTCAATTTGCGTTGACCACTTGTCCCATTGAAATTGGTATATTCAGTCTCAAGTGCTTCCAATCCGATGTTCACATTTCATAACTCATTCCTGATATATTTGTATCTTCTCATCTGAATACGCAAATTATTTTTATGCAATTGCAATAATAAATAAACCATTGCAATCTACGAAACCCAAAACCCAGTCATTTTATTCGAATTCTTTACCTTATGCCTGCATAAATCTTACATAATTTTGACTTGTAAAGGTCATTCGATGTAAATTTGCCTTTTATAAATAAGTCTCTTTTTCCAACATGTTTTTGGACCAATCTCGTTCAATACACGCAAGTTGACGTTTGAAGATTCATTTTACTAAAGCAATGCTTTCATAGGTACTATTAGCTCTAATATATTTGAATTGGCTGTCATTAAAGGTGAGTCAGAACCTATGAACGCTTGCTTAAACAATTTTAAAAATACCTTAAGTAAGCTTCGATGTTATTTGTTTTATTACTTTCATTTTGTACATAAGAAATTATGTCATTATTAACTGGGCTGAAATTGAAAATAATGAGGCATTGTGTCCGAGACACCATGTTAACTCAACACTGCGGACATTTAATTCACTCTTCTAGGATCAATAGTCATTTTGACGCCAAATGATCTGAATCCAGCCCTGAATGCTCCTATTTCACATCGAATGCAGATGACATGGCTACATGCTAAACAGAAACGGCGTTCGAATGTTAATGAAATCGTATCCGAAGCAGCATATCTTCTACTGCAAATGTGCACAGGTTGAAGAGAACTTATTGGCCAATCATATTTACGATCGCATTCCAAGATACTGATGAATCATGCACAAAATTGGTGCTAAATGGTTATGAACAAGCGTGATTTTGAAAATTTTAAATGGTCGTGAATCTCACATTATTCTCTAAGCTGTTTAAAATATTTAAACACTAAAAAAACAACCGATCGCAGGCATTAGGGCAAAAGGTTAATATTTTAGTTTTGGACAAATATTTACTATTTATTACTGTTAGTGGTAATAAATCAGCTTAATAAAGTTCAATCTTTTTCATTTCTTTTCAATATTTCTAAATCGTGGGCTGATGGCAGGAAAATTTCGCATATTTTGCAATGCTGATTAGTGTGATCGTGCTCCCATACCCTCTGGACATGCCTCAAGATTTTCGTTCATATTTAACTCATTCTCATCTTTTTCTAACTTCGATCGTACAATGTTCAATACTCCTCCCTGGTATTAGAATTAATACAAAAAGACTGTGTAAAATAATGAGCTTATAGTACACACATGTTGACCCATTACCTCTAGTTGTCAACCAACGGTTTTATGAATTTTTTATTAAAGAATAAATAACGCGGTAACTGTCAACACTCTTATCTTTGTCTTTCGTTTTCAGCAGTGAAATATTCATGCTTAAATCATTTTAAAAAGGGTACTATGTCCCGTTAACTCTTAGTAAAACAAATACATACTAATGGGCTTTTAACACATTTCAGACTCCCAAAGGACCTTTGTTTACGTGCTCAACGTCACTTCGATTGCAAAATTAACTTTGGCATTTTGCAAAATTTCAATGATATTTTAAATTTACGATAATTTTTTCTCCATTTCAGGCATGTCTGGTCTCCAACTTTGAGCAAAGTCTTGCGAATATGGCTCAACGACTTCAAAGTCTAACAGTATCTGCTGCTGAAAAGGTGCGTCAAACACTGCCACTTTTAAAGAAGTGTCTGATGTAAATCGACTTAAGCATATACAGAATAATTCAAAAACGGGAAGCATAAACAGTATTAAAATCGAAATAAAATTACTAGGGCACTTTAATCTCGATCTTTCGCAATATTTCATATTCATATAATGTTACACAGTTGATGGCAGTTCGTAATAACTGTAAACATTATTTAAATCTCTTTTAGCAATTATACAGAGCGAGAATATCACAGTAGAACAAATAGAGCCTAGATAAACCTTCGTAAAAACAGTTTTATGTCTTGGTATCTTTTCACACATTTTTGTCCGTATTTTGGAAATGGCTGTTCACTCGAAATTCTGACAAACGACGTAAAAAACATACCTTGATCAAACCTTAAAAACACTAATTGCTGCTTTCTAAGGAAAGAAAGATGAATTCAAAAATCTAACAGTAGTGATGGAATTCGAATGATATCCAAAAAATCTGTTTAAAATCCCTTGTCGTGATTTACATCACCGATTGTTCTCCTTTCTGCTTCATTCGGTACTTTGATCGCTACAATTGAAACCAAATTTGGAAATATTTATTTATTTATATCAAATTGCAGGCGTCTTGGTGGTTATCATTAGCCCTTTAGTTGACGTCGGGCTTCACAGAGGGGAAGGAACATCAAACAGAACAGAAGAATGTTTCAAAAATGTAAAAGAGACAGACACAAAGGTAGAACAAAGGTGAGGTGAGTACTGTGAAAATATTCGAATATGGCATAGAGTGAGGTGATGGTAGTTTGAAGTGAGAAGTCAACTGCCAGTCAATAGACTTTTTTTCGTATGAATAAACGTTGTCCAGGGTGCACCACGTGGAGGTAAGTCTATCGCACACCCCAATTTGGAAATATAATAGCATGCAAAATACAAGCCTGCAACTGGTTT